TGCGCCATCCGGTCGAGGCGAAGAAGGAAGTCCTCTTTCTCCTCGGAGGAGGGCTGCTTTTCCGTACACATGCATACAGCGGCTTTCCGTGCACAGCTGGTTTCCGTATTCCGTGGTGCGACACCACCACCGCCCAGCGGCGGCGGGAGAGAGCGTTGGCATGAAGGAAACTGCCTCGGCATTCGATAGGGAACTCCTCTCGCGGCGGCTTCGGTCAGGCTCCAAACGCGTGGTTTGACCACCGAGGGGGGGATAACTGCCGCTGTGGGAACCAGACTGAGAAGACGTTTTTCCGTAGCAATCGACATCAAACCTCTACACACCCAGGTCAGCGCTGGCTGGCCTAGCGGTGTTGATTTCTATCGTAGAACCGCCATCACGCGCTGAGCGTTTGACACTACAATAAAGCAACGGGCAACCGCCCTTGATTTTTGAGACAAAACCGCGTCCCCTAATACGCACAACAATATAGGTTGTAGTATCGGGCTCGTTCCCGACCACACTCTTGTGCTTTTAAAGTTTTGGGGCTCTCAATGAGCCGTAGAAGGGTGCATGCAGGAGACGCCACCGCGTTTGAGAACCTCTGCTATTTCTGCCCGCGAGGTCGTTTTCTTTTTTCTCCCGTGTGGGGTCAAGCTCAACAGCGATTGTATAGGTTCTAGAATGGAAGTCTTAAACAGAGTTCATTTTTCTTGCGGTGTAGTGCCGTCGGTCTTTGTTTTTGTTTCGCTCGTTTTCGAGCGTCAAGTTCTGACCTCAAATGTTCGTGTCCGGCATAGTGCCATAACAGTACCGGTTGAGAACCTGGGAGGTCAGAACTCGAGTACTTTGATTCATAACGTTCGGTACCTACTCAGTCACATCCAGCCATGCGTTTGTGGGTGTCAGGGTGGGAGCTGGTGCATGCGTAAAGGGTTGGTCGGTGCGTCGGTCTTTCGCTGATCTCTCGATTTTTTCTTCATGTTGTATATATGGGGTGGATCTGCCCAGATATTGTTCGGAGTGGTGTTCGTTTTCTTGTTCGTGGTCGTGGCATCCTCTCCTTCCTGTTTTTGGCTCGACGTTGTGTGTTGCCTGACGTGACACCACTCACTCACTGTGAGAAAAATTGTGTGACCCTTTTTCATCTGTCGGTATGCATCTGACCTTTGCACACTTGCTGCGTGATTCTCACTTCAGCCCCGGCTGCGTGTTGTTAGCGTTGAGTTGGGTTAGGGTAGGATTTGGATCCAAATTTGTTCGTGGGTTTGATCCAGCAGCAAGCAGTAGACATGCTCAGGCAGCAGCGCCGACTCTGTGTGGGGCATCTCTTCTTCGGGGGGGAGCAAGATCTCCGAAGACAGACAGACCGACCTGACTCGCTGCTTGTCGTGGACCGGAAATCTCCCGAACCCGATATATGTATGTACGTACAAGTACGTGGTTGATGCAAACTCCATGGGAGGGGGGGCTGTCCGTGGTTGATGGTTTGATGGACTAGCTTTTGACCCACAGATACATTCATGGACATGCGCTAAACCACCCTCGTATAACTGCTGTATGTACGTGTAGGGTGTGTGTGTGTGTGTGTGTTTTCGTTCTATTTATTATGGCGACAGTCCCCCCATTTTTCGTGGTGAATCGTGTACTACACTTTTCAGTGTATGTAGGGTATTTTTTCGCACAACTGCAACCATCCAGGGTAACACAGGAGGGGGTAAACACGAGGTTTTTTTTTTTCTTCTTCTTTTGATATATTTTCGTGCTCCACCTTCCTCCTGCGGTGCGTGTGTTTTGTTGTTGTTTTGGGTTTTGTTGTAGTTTTCAGTTTTTGGTTGGACGCAATACTTGTTTTTCACCGCCGCGGGACTTCATGTAAATTTCCAGAAAGCAAGAGTGTTGAGGGGTGGGGATTTTTCACAGGTAATGTTGGCGTTTTCTGCTGCTTACCAATGAATGGGAAGTTAGAATGTGTTGGGACACGTGTGCACGGGGCGTTCGTTTGTTTGTTTTTTTGCCCATCTGTGTGACCACGGGTTGGAGTAAACGGCCAAAAAAAGTGTTGTGATGAGGGCTGATTTGAAGTGAAGACGAAGAAAAAAATAAAATCGAAGCGTTTCTGGATTGTTTTTTTTCAGCCAACTTGCTCAGTATTTGTTTCGTGGCAGGAGATTTTGTCTGACGGATCGGGGGCGAGTTTTCTAGGTTACCACGTTGTTACCTTGCGGTGTTCATTTTTTTTTTTCCTAAACGGCGACACCCGGCCTTATTATAGTTGAATTCTTGTGGGGGTCGTGATCGATGTGATGACCTATTGTACCCTGCTTGTTTTTTTCGTTTTTCCTTACAAAGAACACAACAAACCGATGCCTTGCACAGAAAAGGACAGACGACAGAGCCCTTCCCTCCTCTCGGAGGCACACCCAACACGCATAGGTAATTATTGCGCCGTCCAAGCAAGCCCCGATACCCTTACCGGTATACTTCTTGTCGCCTGTTGTCCCGTGCGCGGCAGGTGATTGGTGGTGAATGAATGTGTCGAAGCAGTTTCGGTTGATATAAAACATTTGACGAACAACTCTTGTCGCGACTTTTGTGGCCCACTTGAACAAAAGAGATCACACGGAAGCACGGGAATTAGAACTATCCTGCTCACGTGATGCACGCGGAACTAACGCTTTCAAGGGCATGTCTATCGTACGTACGTACCACGAACTGAGGCAGCGGTTGAACAGCCAGGAACATGCAGAAGCAAGGCTCGCCACGTGGAAAACGCTAAGAAAGACAACCCCATGTGATAAAAAGAAAGAGCGAGGTCTAGAGGGAAACCATCCCGCACTGCTTGTTGTTCTTAATAAAAAAATCCATAAATACAGCCACTAAAAACCTTCAACAACATCTGGCATGATTCGTTGTCACAAAAAATCTCTCTCTCTCGATGTCGGGCAAAAACGCCGAAAACGCCACCAGCACGCTGGCACACCGCAGTACAACGCGAGACAAAGACGCCTGGAGAGGCCGTGACAGCTAAATAGCTCCCCCCGGCCTACCGTTCCACTCCTGTGCATAGCTCGCCCGCATCTCCACTCCGCGTGTTCTCAACGGCGGGTGCTACAGGAAGCCTCCGCAGGACGTGCCTTCATCGTCAAGGAGGATAAATCCAACAAGACACCCTTATTTATCCGTACTGGGCGTGTACCTCTCAATGACCATTCCGTGGACCTCGCCAACCGTACACTGAGCCCCGGCCTTTCGTGATGCACCCCCCCCCGCCCCCCCCCGGTGTTTGCCATCGGGGTTTGGGTTTTCGTCGCTTGGCAACGACGTTGTAAAACAAGCCCCCCACTCGGTGTTTGCCGTCGGGATTGGGTTTTCGTCGCTTGGCAATGACGTTGTAAAA